TTACCCCAGCCACACAACTTTTCAAGGACAGCTGGACATTTTGGTGAAGTTCAAGAAAAGGAATTAATTCATAAGTCTTCCCAAAATTTCACCATTTTTATCAATAATAGAAACTAATTTATTATAAAGCCTTATTCTTCTCTACTAGTCGTCCCAAACCTAAGCCACCTCCTTCTCTTAGATTACAAACCTCTACCCAATTCAAGAAATGTTTTTTTTGGTCACTCCCTCCCGAGTCCCAAAGGAAATTCCTCATTGATCTCTCAATTTCTTGCACTACTTTAACAGGGGCTTTAAAGACTAAAAATTAATAAGTTGGAAGGTTCATAAGAGTAGAATTGATTAAGGTTACTCTACTCCCTTTTGAGATATAGTTCCTTTTCCAAGAAGTTAACCTTTTCACGAATCTCTCCAAAACCCCCTCCCAAAATCTTACCTCGCTCAAACCCCCCCCCCAAAGGAAGTCCCAACTATCTCATAGGCCACTCTTGGATCCCACACCCAAGGATAGCATCACTCTCTTGTATCTCTAATCTGGTCATTTGGATCCCCACAAAGCTACACTTCGCTAAATTCACCTTCAGCCCCGACACCCTTTCCACAATTTCCAAAATTTCCCTAAGATTTCTCACATCCTCAAACTCCTAAACTCCCCCAGAATTAGAGTGTCATCTGCAAACTACAAATGAAAACCACTTCATCTTGTCTTCCCACCCTAAAACCTCGAAACAGATTCCTCCCATCAGCTGTTTGCAACAATTTACTAATGATCTCAGCCACCAAGGTAAATAACAAAGGGGATAAAGGGTCTCCTTGTCAGATCCCTCTTTTAACTTGACTAGGTGTAGCTTGCTTGTAGTAGAGGTAGTTCCTTCAAATAATTAACATTACTTGCGATATTTTAATTGGGAATTTTCATCTTCTCAGTATATCTAATACATTAAAGTCAGCCCTAGACACCATGAGTCCTCACAAAGCCTTCTAATTGCATAAAGCACCTCCCACATTGCACTACTTTCCCTATACACATCTAGCTCATATACATTTGTCATTACCTGTGAAATCCATATTTCAAACTTTTCATCTTGACCAAGATCATATATTGGCTTACTAGCTCCTTTAGAATCCTACCTAATAATCCCCAAGATGGTACTATGAACCAACTTAAACTCCTACAAGCCCAAATGCTCCTAACCCATCTTTTGTCTATCTCTACTAGTTTGGATTCTTGAGTTAGAACCATATTGGGCTTCTCTTTCCAAAACATGTCCTTAATGAATCTTCTTTTTTTGGCACTTAAACACTAGACATTCCAACTTAGGATCCCCATTGCTTCTATCTATTTGTTTACTCCTCTAGGTTCTAAATTACCTCTCACCTCTTCTCCCATCTTAATCCATTACCCTCATTGTATCCACTCCACATTTCAGCCATTCAATCCCATTTCTCTTCTTTCTCTTCCTTTCCTTCCCCCTCATCATTCTTCCTAGTGTATATCTTGAGAGGTTTAGCTCCTCTTTCAAAACCTCTTTCATTCAGATCTTACTTGAAATTGTCTCTTCTATTTCTTTCCATACCCATTGCATTGGCATAGGATGTGGAGTGCTGCCCTCCATCCCTGTAAAATCATTCCTTACCAATTCCCATGCAACCAACTCACTAGAATTCATGAAGATTAGACTCAACATTCTTTCCCCTTGGTCAACAGCTGTAGTATTATTTTTTACACTTTCTAGCATCTCTACTATGTAGAGGATTTCAGTGTTCATGGGTTCATCAATTAATCTATCCCTCTTTCCTCCTTTCAGCATGCTTCCTCTGCTTGCTTCATTTTCAAAGTCGTCTTCTCTGTCATCCAAATCATTTATCCAACCTTTATCAAAGCCTTCATCATCATTCTCTTTTATTATTATGTATAGACTTAGGTTGTTCCAGCATGGTGGAGATGTCGAACGAATGAGAATCCCATTGAAGCTTGCTTACCCCCTGCATGCAAGTCTTGGACATGGCTACAATATGCTAATTTGAGGTAAACAAAGATACATCTTTATTTCCATCTATACAGAAGCTCAATGACCAACCAACACGTGATCACTTAAGGCCCAGTTTCACATCCTTTCTCCGAAACATTTCAGTTGACAATAACCACAGTTACAATGATAGGAATATCCCTGCTGCCAATATGAAAGAAGAAAAAAATAACAGCAGCTAAAGCTAACAGCAGAAAATATCATCAATAATAGATAAACCAGTGGGACCACAAACTAATCAGCCCTTTCTCTACAATTTCTTGTATTCTTCTTGTTTCTCAGGAGCAGAAATGCATTTGGGACACCATTTGAATGAGTAATGGCTTGTTCCGGAACAAGAACATTGTGCCCAGAACGTGTTCCTATGGAGTAAGGAAGACCTCATTTCCCAGGAATATGCACATGCACATCATCCTTTTAAAATAGCGAACGTGTGATGGCTTCCCACGTGAGAGGGTCAGTTTTGTAAATTCAATCAGAAAAAAAAGACATTGGTTAAAATCTCCTCTTCTTCTTTCTATCACCGCACCTAGAAGCCTTACGTCCTTCTTTCTTCTTTGCACCAAGAAGTCTCCCATTGCTACCAACCCTCTCCCAACATCTTTCTCCACCAGCAATAAGATCCCACAGGTAAGATCTCTTTTTTGGTTTTTTCCCTCTGTTTTACCTGCAAAACTATACATCTGTGTCATTGTTTTTGTCATTTTCCCACTGTTCTCGATTTTGCAAGTTGGTTGAACTTCAGCTCTCTCCATGGCTATTGGTTCGAGTTACCAAATCCCTTTTGGTTGGTAAAAATCCCACAGATAAGATCTCCTTTTTTCCTTCATTTTACCTACAAAAATGGTAGAAATCATTGTTCCTTTGTTTGTCTTGTTTCGACTGAAACATTTAAACAGAGTACTAACCAAGGTAAGCGTTGAATTGTTTAAATAGAGTACAAAATGGTAGATCTCAGTTTTAATTTTCAAAGTATATTTTGAAGATGTTACAGGATGCCGTGGTTTGAATTACCAATTGCTATAGATTTCTCTATCTCATGTTACTCCCTTAATCACTTCTTACCTTAACTAATGCAGAGCAGTATTTTTGGTTTGAAAGGGAAACTGTCTTCCCTTTCTGTCAACTCCTACTACCTTCTCTCAACCACATGACCACAAATAATCAAGAGAAGACACTACACCAAAGAAAATGAAAGGGAAACCACAACCAATAGTGCAGTGGCTTCAAAAGGCCATCCCTTTATAGGGTAATATAACAGAAGACATTTCCCAGGAAAGACATTTTTCAGGAACATTCAACCAAATGCATCCTTTGTTTCTCAGGAATAGAAAACAAGAAAAATGTTCTAGAACAGAAATTTTCTCAGGAACAGAAATAAGGAGGAACAATGCCAAACAGGGCATAAGTGACCAGATATCAGACCAATGTCCTAGATGGATCAGTTATGAACCAGACGGCTTCTTATGTCCCCTCCAATAAACGTCCTACAATCCTCCATGCCATCTGTTACTTGTACCCTTCATTTACTTTCTTCATGAAAAACCAGCCACCCTTCAAGATGTCCAATTAGGTTTTTGCCACATAGGCTGTCAAGAGCCATCATCCCAACCTTTCTCACCATAGCTTTGCTTCAATGGTGGAAACTAGCCAAACTAACATTAAATATTTAAAATACTAGTCATTCATATATGATGCTTTGCCATGTTTTGCAAGAGAATTTAATGTTACTAACAAAGAGAATTGCTATTTTTCAATTAATATAATATGAATGCTGATTGGTATATAAAACTAGGGAGATAAACTAAAATTTAGCTTGTTACTTTATAAAATTCTTATTGCCTAGGCAACAAGACAACTAGGTGCTCTGTTGTCACCTAGAATCGCTTGGGCACCTTGACAACTATGGATTTATCAAGCTATCTAATATAACTTGTTGTGGAATAACAAAAAATGTTCCTTGGTTTAGCCACAAATATCAAGCAGCCCAATAAAATGCATCATCTTGTGTTGCTATGAAAAACTATACTGGYTAGTGGCTACAACCATGCAAATTCCCTATTAGGAATGGCCACTAGAAACTTAACTATGGGAAGATGTCGCCCAAACATAAAATAAAGAGTGTATTGACATCATGACATGAAATAAATCCTTAACATGATATCTACAAAATAAAAAAAAAATAAAAAAAAAAAACAGTCAAGATGGAAAAGTGCTGAACAAAGCCCAACAGGATAAGAAATCGCATAACAATCCCTGTTATATTTTCCAAAAAACTAGAGAACACATTGGAGAATCTCAGGCATCTCAACCAAGGAATACATAGATTCTATTCAAGGAAGCCTCCATACTGAGCCAGAAAATCTGAAATTTCAAAAAAAAAATGATATATATTGTCCTATTTAACATCATGCATGCTATATTACATTCCTCTTTATACTATAATCATCATATTTCCCACTATAATCCTGGCTACCCAGGGTCTTGGGAGGGGTAGGCAGATATGCACCTAACATTTGGCAATTTGCACAATGTGGCTGCTCTCAGACTTAAACCCACATTCACACACTTGTTTGCCTGAGAATTTACCAATGCACAAAGCTACCAATAAGAGCATCAAAAAACCACCACTATTTCATATATCCTTGTCCATCATCTTCCCTTTAATTTTTCTTGTCAGCATTAGTTTAGTAAGGCAACCTATTAATCCAGAAATTGTATGTGCCTAACCAGGAAGTTGCAAAATTCTAGTTGATAACTTGATAAGGTATGAAGCCACCACTTTGGGGATGCACATAATAACTATCCAATAGAACATTTAGAGCTACTTGAGGGCAAAACATCCAGAGACAAATGTCTACTCAATAAATATTTAATATTTGTCAGAGTGATTGGCTACCAGAACACTTTACCCAAACAAAAAACTAGGAAAAGCAATTGACATTATAAGAATCAGAAGAAATTATTTACCAGAGGCATATCAAAAGCAGCAAAACTGCCAACTGGTTTACTAGCAACAAACACCATCCGTATGTTCGACAAGTAGATTGTCCCCTTTGCTTTAACATTACCTCCATTAGATCTGATCGCAACATACATATAACAAAGACTAGTTAGTGATCAAGAAAATATTGAAATATTTAGGTTAGCCATTTTGAGAGTTCCAAAAATATTGCATCATCTACCCAAATTAAGAACTGCAATTGGTTTAGTGAACAGCATATAGATATAAAGTTAACCTATAGAAAAAAAAAAAAACGGCATATTTATAGATGTTACATTTCTTAAAAAAAAAATTAAAGCAGTTCTTCTCTAAATTACAATTCCTCCATCATCTTGTACAATTTCAACGAATACCCTACAATACATGTTACTACTGATCATATTTGCTAAGATCAATATATGCTTTTCCGAATAAATTAAGAGAAAAAACTAAACAGAACGCGGATTAAAAATTAATGCAAAGAAAAAAAGGATAAACCGCAGATAACAAATGTAAAAAATTTTGAAGGCAATGCATTTCTAAACTATAAATCTTTTGCATAAATTCCATAAATCTTGTCCTATATTTCACTGAACACATAATTGGTATACAAACTAGGACGAAGTACATAATCCTATAGAAAAGTTATATGAACCAAACAGCCAGAGGTCTCTTTAGGGGATAGAAACCATGACATGGATATAAAGTCTCTAAGAAATTTTTACATGAAATCACAAACATCAGTTAAAAAGGATGCAAAGGCATTAAACTCATCAATCCAAACTCAAAATGATCATTCAATTCGACACAACTTGTGCAGACATAGAGTGATAAACAGGTGARAAACTGACCCTGAGATCTTATCGATCTCAAATTCAACTCCATCCCTGGACAAGACGAACATCTCGTTCTCAAATGGAACGGGCATGCCGTTAGGAAACAGCTGTGGATTAAGCGCCATCAACGCCGATTGATAGATGAAATTAGTTTTCCCGGCTCCCTTTCTCAGCTAGGGATTTGCCTCAATTCTTCGTACATATAGGCAACAGAGTTGCGCCTCGTACGCAACCTATGACATTCAGTCGTAGTTGGTATAGCCACGTGTATATCCACACCCCTCTGGAATGAAGAAGAAACCAAAGATAGCAAAAATCCTACGCTCTGAAAACAAAGCATCCAACTGCACATCGGGAATATCTATGTGTGCAGTTCGCTGTTGATTTACAATAGGTGGTAATCCGCCCCCTTCTCAAAGTGCCAACGAACTTTCTGAAAATATTTTACGTTTGAAGTATTCCCTCGTATCGCATTTGGCAATGCTGAATTGTACCGTCTTTACCCGGGAAGACACTCCGATGCTTAAGTGAGTAAGGAGATTTGAGTGAGAATATGTGAGAGAGTTTGTGCGTATACYTTTTTGAGTGCTCATCGGGTCGTTTTATAGCTATCTAAGGTTCAGTTGCCATCAGGTAATGCCTTTGAGTCTCCTATGGAGCTGTTTCCGTAGTTTGGGGACGTGTTGAGTTGCCAGTTACTAGATCCGTGCGGCGGTTATAGGTCACCCGCAGGTCTTGTGGCGTACGGTTCGGCGAGCTGTTCCTATAGTCGCGATAAAGGTGTTCATGGGGGCGTGGCGTGCGGAATGGTTTTGGGATGAGCTGGTGTTGTCGGCAGGCCGAGCTCGCCCTAGCTTGATCGCATACTTGATGTCGATTGTGAAGGGATGAGAGATCCATCATATGGATAGCCGAACCCTACAGGTAGGTTGGGCGAAATTTCAAAAATTTCTCTCTCTCCCATGTGGGAATCACATTCCCTATTTTAGAAAATTGTATTTTCAATGATCAATCCTGAACCCTAAACCAGACCAGTTCTGAAACCAAAAAGGTAGGAGAGGGATATACCTGATACAGAGTAGTAGCAACTCCCAATGAAAGTATTCATGCCCAAGGAGATCTCCAAAGACTGTTCCCACTGAATATGACACAGTGTAGGGTGGAGCAGAAACAGCTGGGTGGTCCTTCAACAAGAACCTGATTCTTCACCAAGAATCTAATGGAGTGCGAGTGAGCACGACTTCATATCAGTTTTTCTCCAAAAACTGATATCAAGAATCTTTCTTGATCGCTCCTACAAGTAGAGATCGAACTGGCAATGGCGGCAGCAATAGGAGAAGGCAAGAGCAAAAGATAATGTCAGTCCAACTGGAGTTATCTTCTCTCTTGAATCTGTAATCTGATTGGGTGAATTGGGGTTCGCCCTTCTCCTCTATTTATAGCCTTAAAGAGAGATTCTCCTAATCCCATTAGAAGTTTCATAATCTAAATCTTGTATTTGGATCTGAACTCTCTTTAAGAGATAAGTATAATCCCTTATCATATCTGCAAATAAAAGATCAGCCATCATAATCATATTAGGAGTTTCCTAATCCAAATCTTTATTTGGATCTGGACTCTCTGAGTGGATAGGGATAACTCCTTATCCTATCTACTGATCTAAATCCCAAAATCGCCCCTTCTTTAATTAATCATATTAAACCAGTTCGAATTGGGCTTTAGGCCCATTAAGTCCATGTGCTCTCTTATCCTCCAAAATGCTACCCAGTTGGATATCCTTATATGGCGTGGGACCCAAACATTGATCTACACATCAGCCACATGGGTTCAGCCCAGCCTCTATTACAAGGCCTGGCCGAATTCACTGTAGGAAACAGTGAACACCTGAGTCCATCACCATGGACTCTTAATGGGCCCAACATTTATACTAAATGGTCCCTGTGTCAAGCCACCTTATAAAAACCTAAGGACTGTGGACAAATGCAAGATTAGCCCATCAGGTATTACCCTCAATGGTCTTACACTTAACCTCTCAGCCCATAATGATCAAACACTGCCCGACAAGAAATGACATCTCTCTCGACTGTAAGGTACAGTGATGCACTCTCTACTCACATAGATCCCAGGAATTAAAACATTTTGCAAACA